TCAGATGTATCGCTTTTAAACACAGCATAATTATTAAGACTAGTCCTTTAAATAAGGATCCACTCAAACATTAAAAAGTAAAACATCCTGATTTACATCCAGTAATAGTTAATGCTGTTAAACGCAGTAAACAGCCTGTAATTTATATGTTAACTCACTGCAGGTAGCCGTACGGTTACCAGTACTGATTGCAGTATTACAACCAAAAACAACTTAAACAGTTGTAATAGCAGATGGTGAGGCCAACATCTTGTTGCTTTCCTTATGTTCTGTTCTTCAAATTTTTCCCTTTTTTCTCTGCAGCTTAGTCCAGATTACTTCTGTTTCCATGATAACAACCCAGCATTTGCCTTAAAATTACACTAATGACGCCAAATTGTTTTTTATTTCCTTGCAGCATCAACAACAAACTGCAGCAGCCAGAGGCGGCATCAGGAGTCCTGGAATATGCAATGAAACACTTTGGTGAACTGGTGAGACTTCTTTCCTGTTCTTTATGTGCAAAGAAACCTGCAAAATACTCTGGTTTTTACTAATGAAGCTAAAATCCAGAGGTAGCACCACACAGTCAACATCTGCATTTAATCTCATCAGCACTACCTGTACCAATAGTCCACACATGCTCAAACCACTTTTCTCTTAAAACAATTATGTTTATCTGTGTCTGCGTTGCACAGATTTTTCTCTACATCCTTCCCTGAATTACATATTTTACAGAGCTCCTACTTATTTGGGGTCATTTTCTTTCCCACATGCTGCACATTAAGAACCCATTGTTTCAGAATGTGCAGCATGTGGGAAATCCATCTGCTACACTAATCTAAAGTAAAGGTCAACAAGGAAAAGTTTGTTTCTTTAATTAACAGAAAGTTTGACTTCTCCCACACTTTGCACATGTTTTAGTGCTTCTGTAATGTAAATCTGACTTTGGACAACAGGTCTGTTCTTTTTTTTTTCATAAGTAGTGAAAGGATTTAAAGTTTTGTCCTCAGGAAATCAAACCAAACGTCTATCATAATGGTAATGGTTCATGAGATCCCTGAATAGAACTCAGATAAAGCTGAAGGTAAATATTTAATATTTTCAGTATCCATCCAGAAAAGCACTTTCTTCTTATTTGTTTTCTCTGGTTCACGCTGAGGGTTTATAGTTCCTGCATATTTCCAGCTGTGTTCTTGTGTGTTTGGTGTCATGGAGCGGCCTGCTGCACACATTAAACCATTGTCTAGCTGTGGACAATTAATTTGACTCGCTCAGACAGTTTCCACATCTCTTGCAAACGAAAGAAAAAGTTATTCTGGTTCTGCTTTAATCTTTGAACGCAGTTGGCAACATTTAGTAACTATAGTTGAACTTTCTACACTAATAGTGGTCCAGATTTACTGATTGTTCTTATTTACTAAAGATTCAGTCTGTTATTTATTTACATAATGTTTTGTAATAAAGTAATCTGAGATCATTTATGTCTGGAAATTGAAAATTGTTACTTAAGTGTTAATAGTGAGAACCACAGTTATTATTTTTGTTCCAATATCAGGTTAGGATATGATTGCTTTTACCAGCATCATTGCTGGTTTAATCCCTACTTCATGCAGGCTTTAAGTACGCAGTGTTTTTCATACCTTTTAATACTGTTGGACCTTTTCTTTTTAAACCCACAAACTCTGTGTGTTTGTTTTTTTTTTTTTTTTTTTTAAACCAAAACAGAGCTTACGGGAGAATGGAAGAAAAGGGGCCCTTTTTTTTCATCTTTTTTTTTTTTTTTTAAACCAGAATTTTATATGGTTTATTTACATGACTGTTGGGTTAATAGGCTCCTCTAAATTCTAAAGAGTGTGTGCGTGAATGGTTGTTTGTCCCGTTTGTCTCTGTTTATCCCTGCGATGGACTGGTTATCTGTCCAGGGTGGACCCCGCCTCTCACCCGTTGACAGCTGGAGAGAAAAATAGTCCAGTAGATTATTTTTTAACTTTCTTTTTTTGGAGTGAATAAGATTCGTTCTCCATCTTTTGACACGTTACCAAAAGTTGGTGAAAATTTGGGTGATCTACCCTAATTAAGCAGTTTAATCTAAAGACTCACTGCCGCCAATTATCCACTCTAACCGATTGCTGACATCCTGAGCTGCTGCTTTTTTAGGGGCTGAATCTTTGCCCAGAACTGTTTGCACAACTATATGGAAGCGAATCGTTACCATATTTCAAATGAAAAAGCATTTCCAGAAATGCTTTTTCATTTTAAGAATGTGGCTACGTTGTGTCAATAATCCTGTTTGCATTTTCATTTTCTTCTTCAACACTGCTCATCCTTTTACTTAATTAAAATGAAAAAGAAAAAGACATTTGAGATTTATTTTTCAAAATGTACCCCCAGCAAATGCATACCATTCAATTTGATATGTAAAATTTGAGAATGAAAAAGCATTTGCAGAAATGCTTTTTCATTTTAAGAATGTTGGCTGCATTGTTTGACTCATAAATGAAATTAGTAATCAAGCAGTATGATGTGGGGATTTTCTTTTTTTTTGTCCCCAACAGCAACAGTTAGCTAGATTTTATAGGACAATGGATTTTAGGTGAATGGAACTGAATTTGATTTCAAAATACTTTATTAATTCCTAAGGGAAATAAAAAATGAAATGAACATAATTTTGTAGAAGAGAACAAAATAAATGAACTGGTTGGAAACGGCTTTAGTGGGATGGAATACAAATGTGTTTCACAGACTTAGGTTTTTATTTTCCTTTTTCACTTCAGTTATGTGGTACTTAGCACAGGGTTTAAAGTATTCCGGCCCGTAGCGATTGCCTGTGAGTAAAAAAATCACTCAAAAATAGACGGTAAATAAATTAAAATCGAAATCCCTCTTGCGTTTGTCAGCCAATGGTAGCAAAGGAGCGCTCTGAAACTAACAGTATTAGCCAATCAGAAGAAGAGGGGAACAGGTCTTAGGAAAGCATGTACCTCCTCCTCTCGTTTCTTGCTCAAGTCGCCAGATAGATTATGGTACAGTGCTGAAGTTCTACACGGAAAATAACCTTGCGCCGTTTACGGCTCCATTCAATGGAGAGACGTGTTAAGGCCAATTTATACTTCTGATGCATAGCCTCTGCAACCGTCAAATCTGTCTCTGTGTCTCAAAAAAATCCTGACTACGTGTCAGTAGTTCGTAAACCTGCGCAGACCTCAGGCACAAGTGCGCAGACCTCAAGCGCAAGTGCGCAGACAAAAAGCAGCTGTGATTGGTCCTTGGTATGCCTTTCCACCTGTCTGTGTGGTTGTCCTTCTCGATTTGGTCCCGGGCTGCGCCATTTTTTAAAACCGAGGAACAACTACGACGAAAGGTTAATCGAGGAAGTTCAGAAGTACAATCCATCAAAGTTCTCGCCAGTTCTCGAATTGGCTCCCCCCTTGCGCTTTGGCGGGAAACTGATGTGCGTCCCTAGAAATTCCACACCACCGGTGCAGAAGCATACCAGCAAAACTGGTTCACGACCAGACCCAAGCGACTTTTGACGTGTGTGGTTGCAGAAGTCTAATCTTCCCTTTTAGAAGTCAAAAAATAAGTAAAAGAAACTTTGTGTTTGGAGAGATGGACGATAGAGAGAACAGAATTGCATGGAGTGTACACAATGCAGTTCATGAACTCCGGCACGCTGCTTATTTACACATCCGGCGGCAAAAAGTTGCTACTCAAACATGAATTAGACCCCGGTCATCACGCTGCTGTTCGTGACGGCCCGCACTCTACAAGTTTGCCGTGAGCTACAGCAACAGCTAATGTACCAGCGTCATTAACTGACCGTTTATGCGAGTTAAAAATGAGCGTTTGTGGTTTCGTAGTTGAACACGACCTCTCATTCACACTAGATATAGATGCACTTTTGCAATCTTCTTGTCATTTTTGGTATTGGATTTTCAAAAGTCCAATTTAGTCTTTAAGGTTTAGTGTGCTTAGTGTGGAAAATGTGATGGGGTGTGAATACTTTGGTAAGGCATTGCTCTTGTTAGTATAACGTTCCTTGGCTCACGGAACGCGGACTAGTATAATTTGAAGTTGTAAGATCAACGTGTCTTGTACTAAATGAACACCAGGACGTCAGTTTAATGATTGAATAGTTCTGGATCTGTGGCTCACGTGGAAAAGAGTTTTTCTGCTTGTGAAAAACATTTATTGGTTCTCTCAGAAAGAGACTCATTAGAAACAGCTTCACTGCAGAAAATAACTGTTTATGAGTTGATCATTTGGTAAGCTTTAATGTGGGAGGATGCAAGCTTTTCCTTTCAATTACCAAAACAAGAAAGCATCAGGAAACGGTCCCTGTTGTTAATGTTGATGGTTCCTTAAGTTAATGACAGAACCCACCGGTTCCACCATGTGTGCGGCTCAGAACTTTAAGCCATCAAATAAAACGGGGTTAATTAGCCAAATTAACTGCAATCATGTAAATATAGAAAGAAGGCTGAAATAAAGCTAAAAAGAAGCTCTGCTTATGTATTTTTTGTTTTGATGGTTTAAATTGCAGATTAGCAGCTCAACAGTTATTGATTGAATGGTATTATTGGTGTACATTTTCATTTGCTTTTTACTTTCTGTGTTCCTCCTTTCAGGAAATCCAAGCCACTTGGTATGAGAAACTTCATGAGTGGGAAGACGCCCTGGTGGCATATGACAAGAAGATCGACATGAACAAAGAGGATCCAGAGCTCATCCTGGGCAGAATGCGCTGTTTGGAGGCTCTGGGCGAGTGGTATGTCATTCGTTATTCTCATCGTTTCCACCAGTTTATTTTAGCTTTTGATATAAGATCCCGTTGGGCTCTTCAGCTCTGGTTTAGCCTCAGCTGAAACAAATAAAGTCTGCGTCTGAGGTTTTGGCTTTTTTGATCTCCCACTTTTCCTTGCTTTCTGTGCTTATGCAACATATTCTAATGAGTCCTGACACCGGGTCTCTCCTGTGGTTGCTCTTATTCGACCAAGGCGGATTTACCAGGAAATGTGTTAAGTGACATCCAAACCTGTAAGACTGGAATCAAACCTCACCCCAGATGACACTAGACTTTATAACACCCACCAACTGTGAGAGGTCACTTTTTGGGAAAGATTAACACACAGGATGTCCAAAGAGTCAATATCAACGGGTCGCCAAGGAATTTATGACATAAAACAGACCTTGATTTGCTTATGTAACCGTTTTTCTGCAGTCTGTGATTCATAAGAAAATGATTCTGAAGTTTTACAAGAAAATATTTCATCTGAACTCAAGGTTTGTGTTTGCATGTGGATGATTAGAACCTGAAGATGATTTACCAGATGACGAAGGCATGAGCCAGAGTGAATCAGACTAAAGCAACAGATGGTTACACACTGACATTGGGCAGATCTCCCTGTTATTTAACAGACCGATTGAAAATATAGATTGTTAAAGTGCATTTCGTGTCTTTAAGAGTCAAAATCAAATTTTATTGGAGCTGGTTAGTGCTTTTTTGGAAGCGAACTTAACGGTTCTGCGGAAAGAACAGGCTGTTAGCGAGGCCACGAAAGCTGTCATGAGAGATTTAGAAAAGTTTGGTTCAGTCTACACAAACATTTAGCTGAACGTCGGATCTAACTCCTTTACGCTGCTGATTATTGAGCTCTTATACTTGATTTAGCATCACATTTAAAGATGCATCTATCGAGATAGGGTCTTTGTTTCAGAGCTTAAATATGTCCCTTATTTTAAAACTGATAGACAGTAGCTCCGTTTCAATTACAATTGTGCGCAAAACTATGTTGGTATTCTGCTGATTTAAAAAATGCATTTTTTTATAATTGCAATATTTCCATTAAATAACAAAAACAGTTGAAGTTGCGCGTCAGCACGTTTGTTCACAAGATAACTCCGAAAATATGTCAGCTGCAGATGTAAACATGAGATATATCAATATTTCAGCCACGGCTCTAGGGGGCGCCAACATCTTCCAACTATTTCCCATCATGTTCGTCTTTCAAAACGTACTAACCTCCATTTCCAGATCATGTGACCCGTATAATGCAAAAAAAGTGCTTCAATTGCACTTATGTGAAAATATAAGAATTTTGATATGTGATACGATTTATTGAAACCTCATGATATTCGTCTACCTTCGCCTGGGACGTTCTATTTCTGCCTGCCTCGGCGGAAACGGAAGGCAGTGAATGTCACAGTCATCTAAATCTAATGGAGAAGGCATCCGTTTAATGAAAAATCATTACTGTACAATTGTTGGGAAGTAAACTCATCTCCCCCTGATTTAAATAAACGAGTGTCACCTTTCTTTCACTCCCTGAACCGCAGAGCAACTTCGTAGCACGTTTAATAACCCCAAGGAGAGGTAGAAAATTGGTATATTTCCAGAAATGGCATATGATTTACTAGGAACCATGTTAAGCACAGCCAGTGATATAAAATTAGCTACTTACCACCAGAGTTGCCTTCCATGCTGGTCGTAACTTTAGCTTCTGTCCAGAAGCATTAAACACATGGCATTCATTAAAATGTGTGTTTCTGCATGTTGGATGTATTTCCTCCCGCAGATTCGTAATTTCCACTTTGCAATGATTGCAAAGCGACTTGTTGCCATCTTTCTCTTCCTTAAAATGAAGCCAAACTTTCGATCGCTTTGACCTCTTTTGTTTTGCTTTTCTAGACTTATGTCTGAGCACATCGTACTTGCTTACTGAATGCCGTGTGCGTAACTTGCGCAAAAAACGTGACGTAAGTCGTGCAGCCTGGAACCTTTGAGAGAATCGTTAAGCGACCTGCCAAACGGTGCCATGGAATTGGAACACACGGAACCGGTTCTGAACAGGAACCGGTTTTCTATTCCCATACCTATAAATCGAGTACAGATAGTGAAGACTGCATCCCACAATTCCCTGTGCTGTCCTCACAACCCAGGCTCAGTCCTTCTTAATATCATCTTAAGGCGCTTTTGAACAAAAATGCCCATATCAGTAGACAGAAATTTTTATTCAACTCAGCTCAAGTAGACTAATACAGAGTCAGTTAAAAACGTACCAGTTTGATCAGTTTGATAAAGCTTCAGTTTATTATTTATATCAAAACAAACTTTATTTATAAAGCACCTTCCTGTAAATTAAGCTGCTTTCCAAAAAAAAAAGTAAAACACTTAAAGTATGTTTTCTATGTAAAATTTGTTAACACATACTGAGCATTCACATGGTAAAAGTGGGAAGAAAAGCTTTCTTTTCAACTGCGGTAAAGCTCCAGCAGTGTTTCGTCTGAATCCACTGTGGATTTTAGGAGGCAATGCAGGCCGACTAAAACACAAAGGAACAGATTCAGAAGAACTTTCTGTGCTTAGGGAAAAAGTAAAGGGTCACTAACAGTAGCAGCTCTGTTTATCGGCTTCATCTTCGAAAGAAAAAGAGCTAAACGGAGAAACTTGGAGCCACTGGTAAAATGTTTGACATGGAAAAACAGGTTGAATATAGTTAAAGGGAGCAATTATAAATGAGCTTCCAATGGTCTGTGACCATATTTCCTTACATTGGTGTAATATAGAAAGGTGACTTTATCCCCCTCTGATGGTTTGTAATTTCCTCTGATATTCTGCTGGAGAAGGTGAGCAGATCTTTTATCCGGTTATGTAACAGGCAGATGGAAAAGGACTCCGGTGACCTCTGTCCCTTCCTCTGATGTCCCTTAAATCTCTTCTCCAAGTCTTTGTCATCAAAGTTTCTCTCCAGCATCTCTCCTGTTAAACACATGCAGCAACTTTTTTTTCTCTTGCTGCTCAATGAATTGATCCTTTTTTTAAGGATTAGTCTCGGTCAGATACATGCGTCCCCTTGAGGAACATCTGTTTTCCTCCGTACGCTCTTATCAGACCCTCTGTGAAATGTCGGCTTGATTTGAGATGTTTTTCTCGAGCAACAAAGAAATAAAATTAAATGATGGCAGATGTTATAGAAAGCTTAGCTTTTATCTCCAGTTAGTTTTTCCATTTTTTCTTTGGCCAGAAAGTCTTGTCTGTTTTATTCAGTATAATCTCCAGCAGCAAAACTAAATTTATACAGTATGTATTATAATGAAGAACTTTGGGTTTAGCATGCCATCATTTATACCTGCTTTCATGAAAATTTTCTTTGGGGTCTTCACTTTCTTTATCTGTATATTCATCTGATCAATACAACATTATTTCCTTGTTCTGCTCTTTTAGCTCTCTGGGGCTCATCAAATGTAGTTTAGTTTTTCCTCATGTCTGTGGTTAATGTTATGCAGGGGTCAGTTGCATCAGCAGTGCTGTGAAGAGTGGACGCTGGTCAGTGAGGAAACCCAGGCTAAGATGGCTCGTATGGCTGCAGCCGCCGCCTGGGGTCTAGG